ACAAATTTTGCTTCTTCAATTTTATAAATACCTTTATTTTTGTCTGTGCGGGGCACAACAGATTTTGTGAAAAAATTCAAGGGAAAGACATTTGATCAAAAATAAACAAACAATTAACGAAAAAAACGATTAAAAATTAATTACAATTTAAAATAAATTAAATTAAATATGGTGCGCAAAGAATCAAGACCTTAGAGAAATTGTCCGAAATATTTCATTTTCCCTTTGTAGATACCTTCCTCCAACATTTTCGAGATATTCACAACATCGTCAGTAAATGTGTCTCGTCTAGACGATTTTTTCGCCCATTGACTTGTGAATATCTTTAACTTTACCATTTTATTGGAAACTATCTGTCCTTTTTCAGAAAATTAATTGACCTCGTAATTGATATTGTGTGGAGAAAAGAAAAAAATTATAAACGATTCCTTCATTTTTTCAAATTGAAAGAAATTCTTTAACCCTTTTGGAGAAGAATTCGTAATTCTCAGCTTTTCTCTTTGACTGTGGTGGAAATAACAATTTTTTTAGAAACGTAAAAGCTCGCGTAAAAGCGTAGACCTCAGAGGAGACCTTTTTGAGGCAAGACGACTAAAAAAAAATAAGTACATACTTTCAAAAGAGGGACAAGAGCGCAAAAGCAAACATGTTTTGCAGGGGGAACACATAATGACGAGAAGAAATTACTTTTTATTAGAGAAGACTCTTGAAGAACCTCTTTGGCACCCATTAAATACCCAAGAATACCCATAAACCCCCAAAAAATACCTAATACCTATTTTTACATTAGTTGATAGATACAAGCAATTGATAAATAAGACGCTGCCCGATAGTAAAATTTCCCGCCTTTTTTATTTTCGAGTTCAAAATTAGGGGGGTCCATTCAGAATTCTGAAGTTGACGGTGTCATCCTCAGGGTTACCACTCATTAGCCACCTTAGAATTGCAGAACCTTTGTATGATGATCCCATCGTCTCAAGATAAATGAATCACCTGGTATGTTCTACAGTGTGTTTGACATAATAAAGTCGCCTCAATATCTCTTTTATTTAGGGAGATTCGAAAAAATGGTTAAATATAATTTTGCATGCGACATCACGATCTACCCCATGGCATATTGAAATTTCCAGTTAATCGATGTAACTTTTGTTTATTTTTTGGCCCTCTTTTCTTCTGGGCCCTCAACAGGCTTGCGCTCAATTAGTGTGACCCGCATAATGTAATGGTACATATAGGATTCTCGTGGTACCATCGCATCTTCTTCTATACTCCTGGCGAATAATTTCATGCTCCACAAAATGGTGGTTCGTTCGATAGTCTTTTCTTTTCTGTAAAATTTGCATGTGGGCGGTAACGCTACATATTTTTGGGTGACAATGTAGTATCGGGGAAATACCCCCCCCAGTAAATGAGAATTAGTGTCCTTTTTCTATAATCGGCACTATCACCATGAAATGATTTGTATACGAATTAAAACCTCGTATGCTGGGGGGTATGGAATACCCCTCAGACCCCCCAGTGTTATGTTTTCACTTAAAACACTAAGCCCCGGGAAGGATTCTGATGATATGTAGTAATTTACAGGAAAAATGAAAGAGACTTAACTCGAGGCTTAAATCTGAATTGGGATCCATCTTGTAAGCTCAAAATGGGGTTTCAAACTTCTTCCAAATGTGATAAATATACCTTCCCCATAAAATTTATTGTTGTAGAAAATAGTAAATGCGACTAGTTTCGCTAATAAGGGAGAATTTAAGTTTGTAATTTTATTAAAATTAACGCCTGAAGATGCATTATTGGCGAAACTAGTCGCATTTACTATTTTCTACAACAATAAATGGGGAAGGTATGTTTATCAAATTTGGATCTCGAGGCTTAAACTAAACCGAGAACTAAACTTACCATTTTAGTGGAATTGTTTTTCGTTTTTCCGGAAGAAATCATACAAAAAGGTTCGAAATTCAGAAAAGAATTCCGAATTTCCAATAGGAAAATCGAGAGTAAAATGTACTTAACTGTAAGCCACATAATTTTTTCAATTCTGAATTCTTCGCAGCATAAATAGGATTTCATTTTGGGAATTCTGTTGAAACCAAAGTAGAAGCTTATCCGCAATTATTTTTATGTATTGAAATTATTTGGGATTCTTTCAATAGAATTCCCAATTTCAGTAAGTGAGCTGAATTTGCAAGTGACTATTTTTTCAATTTTGAATCCTTGGTCTACTGCAACTTTTTTTGAAAGTTAAGTGTGATTTTTGCCATTATTTGAAAAGATTACTAGCGTTTGCTCTAAATTCCGTCTCTATTCTAAAAATATTTACTACTATTTGGGTCTGTGGGCAAAATAAAGTCGGTGCCTTTTAAACGGAGGCAAAATTCGAAAGAAAAGCGAAAAGTTTCGAGGAAAAATTAATAAAAAACGAGTAACTTCAAATAACTACTAGTGTACGGAAAATAATCTTTTGGATATCTTCAAATTTGTGATTTTATTGGAAATCTGTTGTTGTTTTTTTAAAATAATTGAAATTGTGTTTCAATTCTAAATTCTTAGCCTACTGCTACTTTTTTTTCGAAGTTATGATTTTTGGCATTTTTTGAAAAGTCCCCCAAATTCCGTTTCTATTCAATAAATATTTACTATTGTTTGGATCCGTATCCAGAATAAAGTTTTTTAAAAGGAGGCAAAATTCGAAAGAAATGCGTAGACCAGAAAAAATGAACAATAAAAAGCGAATAAGTGCAAATAGTTCCCAAAACGGAATTTCAAGAAAATTATAAACAAAAAGGACGAAATCTCTAATTCGCTCTTCCCAGAGTAAATATTGAATGTTAGGATTATTCGTAGTTAGCCTAATGTTTCCAGGGATGTTTTTTCCTTAGTTTTAGTTTCCGTAATTTTATTTTATTCTTCCAAATCGAAATTCGGCAATTATTTGAAAATTACGTTCAAATGTAAGTAGCACATTTTTTATTCGTGTTCCAAAAAATAATTTCCATTGCAATAAAAAATCATAGCACACTACGATTCATTACCGCCACTTCCTTCGTCCGGGTTTCCCCCAAAAAAACTTGTTAAAAAATGAAGAGGAAGTAAATATAGCATCATAACAATTGCAGAATTTGTTTTGTTTGATAAACAAATGGTGGAAATTATTCGTTTTTCGATTGTCTGAGCGTGTCCGGCGATTTCGTTGCCAGATCTGCTGCTCGCCAACTATTTTCTATAAATATCCCATAATTTCGTGTTTTTTCCCTTCTGTTTGTAATTGCAGTCTCTCGCACGGAATTACATGTGAACGCTCTCGCCTCCTCCTACCTCCCCCCGCGCATTATTCTAACTAGAATAGCATTTTTACTACCTTATGCAAACGTTTTTAATAACGCTAGTAGATGGATAGATTTAGTAGTGTGTCATGAAAACAGGTGCTACACGTCCATTCACCTAGAGCCTTGAAAAAACTGCTTCTTCAATCATAATCGTATGGGTTTTCGGTGTGGCCGATGTCCTTGTCGCGGTGATTATATGGGAGAAGGGTTAGGGAAAACATGCACGTGCTGAAAGGTCACCCATTGAAATGAAAAGCGCAATTTCGTAATTTAGCCTGGGTCTCGTTTTTATCTCGGTTAGGGCGAGCTTAATTTTCCTTTTCATTAAAGAAAAAACGGGGTGTGGATCGGGTTGAGGGTGACTTTAGTTCGAGGAGATCGTGAACAAAATTGTATTTAAAACCGTACCCGCCTCGAGCTACAAGCAGGTTCCTTGTTTCTCATTATAAATCAACATGAGTGCTGTGACGTCACGTTACTTCAGGCAACGCCGCATAGTCGCCCAGCTACGTACTCGCGCCCGTAACTTCGATTCTTCACATGCCCAGTCTAAGTGGAATACCCAGTTATAAACTAACGAGTTTTGGAAGACAGTTTTGATGCTCGACCGAGAATTAGTATCGGTAACGGTTTACGGCGTTGCCACATCTCGGTCTAATTAGCGAGAAACTGCACTGCGGGATCGCGAATTTTCTTTAATTTCGCCGTAGGAAAAAAAACCGACGATTTATTTGGACAACTGGATGAAATAATTGTATTTGAAAGCTGGCCGAGTCATGCGGCAACGTGGTGGGGAGAGGGGAGGCGGAGCACTTGGGGGGAACTGGGGCTCTGGGAGCTCATTTATCTTACTACGCAGTTGGCTCTAAGAAAATCGATCTGACGCATTGCGTTGTTGTGGTAGTATTAAATACGCCGCTTTTAAAGGTGTCGATTTCGTTAGTAAAGCTTACTTACGCAGTATTTCGTCCAAAAAATCCACTCAGTGGCTGATCTGATCAATTTTTTTTTAATCAGCGCACTATCGAAACACGCACTGCCAACGTATCGATTTTGTATTATCCCCTAGCTATCGGTACCTTTCATCTTAATTACAAAAGTTCATACAAAAACACCAATTGTGTACGGGGTGGCCACACCCTTAGCGTGTAGAACTCAAAAAACGCATACTCAGTCTTTATTAAAACAAAAGAATAATCATAGACATCCTCAGAACACAAACGGTACACTTTTTTTTTGCACTTTCTGGAAGGAAATCATCAGCAAGGCGTAATAATCCATCGACATTTGCCGTTGAAATGGGAACGTCGTTACAGGAAATTGGGTTTTATACTTGCTCGTAACACATGCGCAGGATTACGGTGCAACTATCACCTTCCCTTCCATTTTCCATGGCCAACTCAGACATCCTACCACAAATATTTTGCGAAACGTCACCTCCGCGTAGCACAAACACTTTGTAATCTCGCCATAAATATAATTTACATTCTTTATTATTGTTCCCGCTCCCCCTCCACTTTATCAACAATTACCAGCGCGTCTCTTATTTTACAAAAAGCTCCGGGCGCAATGACCAAGCAAACATGAACGATCTTAAAGCCGAAGTACCACTACGTTTATTGATCTATCGCTACCTCATCCCGAATGCTAACGAGAATGTTATTGTTCCAGTTATGGCCGCGTGCAAAGTGTCAAGTTGTTGCCACGGAGCGTCAAGGAAGAGACGGGCGAGACAACGACGGCGTGCACGGTGGCATTTATGGACATCAAAAGCGCGTCAAAAGCGCACACCGCGGAACACAAAATTGACGAGAAGACTCTGACCACGGAGTACTACGAGCCCGCTGCCATTCCGTCCGCTGCCTCGCCGCAGAACACGAACTCTACGTATGCCACTTCTCCGGGTAGCATTCGATTTACAAACAATCACGGGTAAGGATCTCCAAAAACCGTCCCGAATCCTTGCAACTGCCCATTCAGTAACTAAAATCAGATCCCATCTTGTTCCTTTAGGTCACGATCTAGCTTGGATACGGGATATTCGACCAAAGGGTTTAGGGATGCAAAAAAGTCTGATCAGGTGTGGAGAGGTAGGCAAAGTTCGGGAGCAAGGCAAGAAGTCCCTTCTCTGTAAGGAATATATTAGATTCGGCTTTGTGCTCGTGATTTTTAAGGGTAATCCTGTGGAACTTTTATCCATTATGCAGAAGAGGTAGACTAAGCCACGTTAGTGGTGCTCAAGGACTATTATGATTCGACTTTGAATCACATCTACCCTTAAATTTGGTTCGTAAAATATACACTTCATTCTTTTTGAAGAAATTTCTCAATTTTCTACATTTTAGAAAGTAAGGGTGGTTAGGGCCACGTTGGTAGTATTTAGAGAGTAAGGATTCAAAGCATTATGATTAATTTTGAATTTACACGCATCAACCCTTAAAGTTCATAAATGAAATTTGAACTTTTACACTTGATTCTTTCAGAAGAAAGTTCCTAAATTTCCCACGTTTTCGTATTATACGTAGTTGGATTGGATCAGGTCACGTTGGGGGTGTAGTGGCTAGGGATTCAAAGTATTATGATTGATTTTGGATCTAAACACTTCAACCCTTAATGTTCGTCAATGGCATTTGAGCATTTACACTTCACTCTTTAGAAGAAGATTCCTAAATTTTTTAATTTCAGTATTACGTAGTTGGGGTGGATCACGCCAAGTTGGGGGTGTTTACCGACTAAGGATTCCACTTATTATGATTGATTTTGAATCTAAACTCACCAACCCTTAGAGTTTGTCAATGAAGTTAAAGTATTTGCCCTTCATTCTCTTAGAAGAAAATTCCTACATTTCCTACGATTTAGTATTACGTAGTAGGGGTGGATCACGCCAAGTTGGGGGTGCTTAGCGACTAAGGATTCAAATTATTATGATTGATTTTGAATCTACACACATCATCCCTTAAAGTTCGTCACTGAATTTGAGCATTTGCACTTAAATATTTCAGAAGAAATTTCCTAAATTTCCTACGTTTTAGTATTACGTAGTAGGGGTGGATCACGCCAAGTTAGGGGTGTTTACCGACTAAGGATTCGAATTATTATGATTGATTTTGAATCTAAACTCACCAACCCTTAGAGTTTGTCAATGAAATTTAAGCATTTGCCCTTCATTCTCTTAGAAGAAAATTTCTACATTTCCTACGATTTAGTATTAAGTAGTACGGGTGGATCATGCCAAGTTAGGGGTGTTTAGCGATAAGGATTCGAATTATTATGATTGATTTTGAATCTACACACATTAACCCTTAAACTTCGTCAATAAACCTTTAACATTTGTACTTCATCCCTTTAGAAGAAAATTCCTAAATTTCCTACGTTTTAGTATTAGGTGTAGGGGTGGATCACGCCAAGTTAGGGGTGTTTACCGACTAAGGATTCCACTTATTATGATTGATTTTGAATCTAAACTCACCAACCCTTAGAGTTTGTCAATGAAGTTAAAGCATTTGCCCTTCATTCTCTTAGAAGAAAATTCCTACATTTCCTACGATTTAGTATTACGTAGTAGGGGTGGATCACGCCAAGTTAGGGGTGCTTAACGACTAAGGATGTTAACTATTATGATTGATTTTGAATCTACACACATCAACCCTTAAAGTTCGCCAATGAAATTTGAGCATTTGTACTTCAATCTTTTATAAGAAAATTCTAATTTCCTACGTTTTAGTATTACGTAGTAGGGGTGGATCACGCCAAGTTAGGGGTGTTTAGCGACTAAGGATTTTAATTATTATGATTGATTTTGAATCTACACACATCAACCCTTAAAGTTCGGCACTGAAATTTGAGCATTTGCACTTCAATATTTCAGAAGAAATTTCCTACGTTTTAGTATTACGCAGTAGGGGTGGTTCACGCTAAGTTAGGGGTGTTTAGCGACTAAGGATTCGAATTATTATGATTGATTTTGAATCTACACACATCAACCCTTAAAGTTCGTCAATAAACCTTGAGCATTTGTACTTCATCCCTTTAGAAGAAAATTCCTAAATTTTCTACGTTTTAGTATTACGTAGTAGGGGTGGATCACGCCAAGTTAGGGGTGTTTACCGACTAAGGATTCGACTTATTATGATTGATTTTGAATCTACACACATCAACCCTTAAAGTTCGTCAATAAACCTTGAGCATTTGTACTTCATCCCTTTAGAAGAAAATTCCTACATTTCCTACGATTTAGTATTACGTAGTGGGGGTGGATCACGCCATGTTAGGGGTGTTTACCGACTAAGGATTCGACTTATTATGATTGATTTTGAATCTAAACTCACCAACCCTTAGAGTTTGTCAATGAAATTTAAGCATATGCCCTTCATTCTTTTAGAAGAAAATTTCCTAAGTTTCCTACGTCTTAATGTTACCTTAGTAGGGGTGGATCAGACCACGTTAGGGGTGTTCAGCGACTAAGGATTCAAATTATTATGATTGATTTTGAATCTACACACATCAACCCTTAAAGTTCGTCAATAAACCTTGAGCATTTGTACTTCATCCCTTTAGAAGAAAATTCCTACATTTCCTACGATTTAGTATTACGTAGTAGGAGTGGATCACGCCAAGTTAGGGGTGTTTACCGACTAAGGATTCGAATTATTATGATTGATGTTGAATCTACACACATCAACCCTTAAAGTTCGTCACTGAAATTTGAGCATTTGCACTTCAATATTTCAGAAGATATTTACTAAATTTCCTACATTTTAGTATTACGTGTAGGGGTAGATCACGCCAAGTTGGGGGGTGTTTAGCGATAAGGATTCGAATTATTATGATTGATTTTGAATCCACACACATCAACCCTTAAAGTTCGTCAATAAACCTTGAACATTTGTACTTTCATCCCTTTAGAAGAAAATTCATACATTTCCTACGTTTTAGTATTAGGTAGTAGGGGTGGATCACGCCAAGTTAGGGGTGTTTAGCGACTAAGGATTGTAACTATTATGATTGATTTTGAATCTACACACATCAACCCTTAAAATTCGCCAATGAAATTTGAGCATTTGTCCTTCAATCTTTTAGAAGACAATTTCTAAGTTGCCTACGATTTAGTATTACGTAGTAGGGGTGGATCACGCCAAGTTAGGGGTGTTTAGCGACTAAGGATTCAAATTATTATGATTGATTTTGAATCTACACACATCAACCCTTAAAATTCGCCAATGAAATTTGAGCATTTGTCCTTCAATCTTTTAGAAGACAATTTCTAAGTTGCCTACGATTTAGTATTACGTAGTGGGGGTGGATCACGCCATGTTAGGGGTGTTTACCGACTAAGGATTCGACTTATTATGATTGATTTTGAATCTAAACTCACCAACCCTTAGAGTTTGTCAATGAAATTTAAGCATATGCCCTTCATTCTTTTAGAAGAAATTTCCTAAGTTTCCTACGTCTTAATGTTACTTAGTAGGGGTGGATCAGACCACGTTAGGGGTGTTCAGCGACTAAGGATTCAAATTATTATGATTGATTTTGAATCTACACACATCAACCCTTAAAGTTCGTCAATAAACCTTGAGCATTTGTACTTCATCCCTTTAGAAGAAAATTCCTACATTTCCTACGATTTAGTATTACGTAGTAGGGGGTGGATCACGCCAAGTTAGGGGTGTTTACCGACTAAGGATTCGACTTATTATGATTGATTTTGAATCTAAACTCACCAACCCTTAGAGTTTGTCAATGAAATTTAAGCATATGCCCTTCATTCTTTTAGAAGAAAATTCCTAAGTTTCCTACGTTTTAGTATTACGTAGTAGGGGTGGATCAGCCACGTTAGGGGTGTTTAGCGACTAAGGATTCAAATTATTATGATTGATTTTGAATCTACACACATCAACCCTTAAAGTTCGTCAATAAACCTTGAGCATTTGTACTTCATCCCTTTAGAAGAAAATTCCTACATTTCCTACGATTTAGTATTACGTAGTAGGGGTGGATCACGCCAAGTTAGGGGTGTTTACCGACTAAGGATTCGAATTATTATGATTGATTTTGAATCTACACACATCAACCCTTAAAGTTCGTCACTGAAATTTGAGCATTTGCACTTCAATATTTCAGAAGATATTTACTAAATTTCCTACATTTTAGTATTACGTGTAGGGGTAGATCACGCCAAGTTGGGGGGTGTTTAGCGATAAGGATTCGACTTATTATGATTGATTTTGAATCTAAACTCACCAACCCTTAGAGTTTGTCAATGAAATTTAAGCATATGCCCTTCATTCTTTTAGAAGAAATTTCCTAAGTTTCCTACCTACGTCTTAATGTTACTTAGTAGGGGTGGATCAGACCACGTTAGGGGTGTTCAGCGACTAAGGATTCAAATTATTATGATTGATTTTGAATCTACACACATCAACCCTTAAAGTTCGTCAATAAACCTTGAGCATTTGTACTTCATCCCTTTAGAAGAAAATTCCTACATTTCCTACGATTTAGTATTACGTAGTAGGGGTGGATCACGCCAAGTTAGGGGTGTTTACCGACTAAGGATTCGACTTATTATGATTGATTTTGAATCTACACACATCAACCCTTAAAGTTCGTCACTGAATTTGAGCATTTGCACTTCAATATTTCAGAAGAAACTAAATTTCCTACATTTTAGTATTACGTGTAGGGGTAGATCACGCCAAGTTGGGGGGTGTTTAGCGATAAGGATTCGAATTATTATGATTGATTTTGAATCCACACACATCAACCCTTAAAGTTCGTCAATGAATTGAACATTGTACTTTCATCCCTTTAGAAGAAAATTCATACATTTCCTACGTTTTAGTATTAGGTAGTAGGGGTGGATCACGCCAAGTTAGGGGTGTTTAGCGACTAAGGATTGTAACTTATTATGATTGATTTTGAATCTACAC